CAGTAACATTGAGAATATCACTATTATTATTATATATATATTGTTGCAACACCGCCACCACGACCAGTCTGACGGGGTTCATGCTTATAACAGTAGCTTGGTGGAGTAGACTCATTTAGACCAATATAATCATTTGGTTTTAGCCAGGTTTCAGTCAAGCAGAGTACATCAAAACTATTATCTGTGATCATTTCATTTACAATAACTGCTTTGGGTGCGAGTGATCTAATGTTTAGGAGCCCAAGCTTTAATAATGGTTTTTGTTCATTTATTTTGCATTTTTCCTGTTTAATCACGATCAGGTTTTTTCTAGATCCTCCATTAAATGTATATTTTGACCTCACTATTCAGGGAACAGACACAGTCTTTATAGATTGGAGAACACAAGTACTTCTATCATTTAAGTGGGTAGAACAAAAGCCATCGTGGCAGTTATTTGAGAATTGGTTTACTAGTCAGCGTAGCGTCCTGGAGATGTTGTCCGACAGGAGTTCCGCTCCGACTCTGCTGGGGTGCAGGCCATCAGCGCGAAAAAGCCTAGGACGCTCCCAGAAAAGATTCCAATTATTAACAAAGAGCAGTTTCTGTTCTCTACACCATGACAATAACCATTAATTTAAAGCAAATAGTCTACTGAATCTTTCGTGTCCTCGTCGATACGTGGGAAGCGGTCCTGACACAATGATTGGCGTCGCGGGCGATGTGCTGTGTACCGTCTCGATCAGGCTCCTGAAGTCCCTCTTCAGAGTTTCCGTCTGCCGCAGCTTGGTGTCGTTAACCCCTGCCACTCATTCATATTTATTTTGTATTTATTTGATGTGGAAGGACATTAAATAATTGTCCTTCTTAACACAGCTTTTGCCACCTCCCAATGTTGTGGGTGATATATCAGGTTTATCATTAATCTATGGTAATATGGTTAATTTTTGCCAATACTATCGACTTGATTGCACAGACACTATTGAAAGCCACCTGAACTGAGCTGGGTGATGACATCACTGAATCAGCAATTAAATGACTTTAACTGAAAAATTTGACTGTTTACTATTGTCCTCTTTTTAGAGCTGCTTTACAGCAGAATTGAATTTTGTTTGCATTGTCAACACACTATTTTCCTGTTTAACAATGTAAAGCTGTTCTGACACAATCTGTACTGTATAAATAGCTGCATAACTAAAGGCGACTTCACTAAGTACTATGATGGCTTTTTTAATTATTATTTTAATGTGTTCCTTGAAGTTCACCTATACTGTTAAAGTAATAGTTCACACAAAAATATAAATGTATTCACCCTCAGGTCATCCCAGTGGTGGAAAGCATACTAAAAATTTTACTTAAGTAAAAGTATTGCTACTTAAGGAATAATTTACTTATAAGCTTTTACTTTTACTTGTACTGAAAAATAATATGACTCAAGTAAGAATAAATAAGTAGTTTGCTGATAAACTACTCAAGTTACTGCATTACAAAGTACTTTATTATTATTATGGAGTATGGGGTATTTAGTATCATTATGGAGTATTAAAGACTCTCATGTAACTACTCCACTGGGGCTCCACCCCAGTAGTTTAAAAAGTGTCCATTAAACACCACCTCGCCCTGTTTCTCCATCGGCACCTTTGTCTTTTTTGTACTTTGTACTTCTGGTGAAAAATAAATGTAGCGAAGCTGAATACTTTATTTTTATTCAACTCAAGTAAAAGTACCACAATTTAATTATACTCAAGAAAGTAGAAAATATGAAAAATGTAGTCTACTCATAGTTTATAAACTATGAATTAACTATAAACTAATAATTGTTAATCATTTGTAAGTACTTTATTAGTGTATACTTATTATAAAGTGTGATCTAATGTTGTGCATGGATACATCATTTATAATAAAACTGCAATAATTCCTAAAAATAAGAATTGTGACTTTTGATTTCATGGTGACTTAAGAAAAAATAAAGAAAATCATTGTTTGGAATGACATGAATTTAAATCTTTTTCAATAGCATGATGTCACTGTTTTGTGTTTGGAGTTGTATGTTGTTCATGTTTCCTAATTTCTTGTGTATATTTTGTAGTTTAATTTCACGATTGTCTCTCAGGGTGTTTGTTGCCTTGTGAACCCTCCTGTGTTTACAGCCTGATTTACCCATGTTTCCCTGTGTTCCCATTGTCAGTTGTTGTATTTTGGAATATGTGTTCATGCTGAATTCAGTTGTTTTGTTACTTGAATCTGAAAGCTGTGTGTAGATCAGGACTGGGCAACTCTGGCCCCTGAGATTCACTTATCTGCAGAGTTCAGCTCCAACCCTAATCCAATACACCTGAACAACTAATCAAGCTCCTTGGCATTGCTGAAAAGCTACAAGCATGTGAGTTTGATTAGGGTTGGAGCTAAACTTTGCAGGAAAGCGAATCTCGAGGGCCAGAGTTTCCCAGTCCTAATGTAGATCCTTTGTCTCTTTAGTCTGGAGTTACACATGGCATTGCTGAGAAGAAATGCTGCATCTTTGCTTTTGCAAGTTGCTTCACCAGTATTTTCATTCTAAAATTTTCAGCAATTATGGAAATGGAATCCAGGGATAAATTCTAGCTTAGTGATCTACTGTAAATATCATTGAAATCTCACTTGTTATTATCCATTAATTAAAAATAGGGGCAGTACATTTTTGTATGTTTTTGTTTTCAATTGTTTTTTTGTTCTACTGTTTTATTTAATGAATAAGTATTATGTCTGTGGGTCAAACTGGTTTTAAAATAATTCAAAAGTCACACTGTGAAAAATGTTAAATAGTAACCAATGCAAATAGCAAACATATCAAAACAGTATTATATTATAACAAAATTGTGACTAAAATGTTTCAAAAAGCAAACAAAAATATGATCAAATATGAAAGTTGCATAAAACAAATATTTTTAACATTTTCTAGTCGTAAATGTTTTCACATTCACAAATTGTGAATGTATACAACAATCCAACTGTGAAAGTAATTCGTGCAGTATTACTTGAACATGAACTGTTTTAGGAGTATGATTCTTGATTTGGGTGTGACATAGGCATAAATCACTGAGGCAAAGGGTTGGGTGTTTGTTGAGGGCTCAGGACCTACCCCATCAAAAACTAAATTACTATCTGGAGGGTGCAAGATAATTGAATAATTATAGTATGACCACTTTGTGTTGTTGGGCAGATAAAATGACAGAGAAAAGAAAACCGGACAATTTTTCAGTGCACCAAAATGCCAAGTAAGTACAAAAAGTCCCCATATGAAAGCAATTTAGCTTAATTAAGGCAACACATCTTTGTGTCCCCTTCAAAAATTGCTTTATTGTCCCCTCCAACTGTTAGATGAAATATATGCCCATGGGTGTGAGATCTTCTGGTAAGATGTTCAAATCCTAAACAGGCTCCCTTTCTACTTTAAAACCGATAATGAAGAAATCAAGTGTGAGCTGCTCAAGAAGAGTTTTTAAACATGCTAGGCCTAAAATAAAGATAGTGTAACACAAATATGATGTGCACTGTAAGACATTTAGCATTTATGGCTTTTCGCACACTGACAGCTGTCTGAGTGACTGCTAGATGTTTTGCAGTTGATTTTGACTGAATTACTCTCACTGACAGCTAGCTGAAATGTCACCTATATTTGCACCTAAAAATCTTCATAACAGATGGATTACTGGTTATATTTCTATTTAGTATTTAAAATGAAATGCAATATTTTAAACCAATAAATATATAAAAATTATTTCAAGAAAATTAACAAAATTGTACTTAATTTTACATTGAAAAAAAAGTCAAATGAATTGAGACATTACAACATCCCTCTGAACCCCCCCGCCCCCCCCCAAAAAAAACAAAAAAAGATGGCATAAAGGTGAATACAAAGCTTCACAACTCAATTTGTATTTCCGACAAGTTGTTCCACGATGTGGTTTATCCAAACTCCGCATGCTTACTGAAACACATCAGACCATGAAAGCCGAGCTCTTGCGGCCATCGTGTTTCAATGGGTCAATTTTTACGAGTGAATTCAGATCGATTTACTCACTGGATTCCAGTCCTTCAGGACAGATGAAATGCCTAACTGTGAGGCTCTGTGCATTCTTAATGTTGATATATCAGAGAGCAGATTGAAAGGAGCTGCTCTACTCACGGCTCAGCGGCTAAAATTAGCCTCCATCTCAATCACACCAGCAGATCCAGCCCAAGTCTATCCGCAAGTACAAACACGTTATCATGTGCTTCTGGCCGTTCCTGGCCTGTCCAGTCATGAAGACACATGGTAAACAGGGAATAGATGTTACTATAACTTTTGCTTTTATAACTTTTATGTGAGGGATAATCTACATCCCTGCTGTTTCCAGCTTCTGATTCTGAAGTGCGCATCTGATGAACACTTTACTGTCCCATGAGGCCATGGCAGAGAGGATTTGGCAGTGAAGCGAACTCACATGTCAGTGACAACATGAAGAATGTATGTCTGGATTACATTCATACTATACAGTATAGAACACACTTTTTTTTCAATGGTGGCTATGCAATTACTTATTAAAAAGAAATACCAAGGGCCTATCCAATTACCCACACTTATGCTCTTGGCCAGTTGTGCAACAGGAAGTGAGTGCTTGAGACAGGTCTTAAAAACGCTTCTTGAAAATCTTGAATAAAGTTAAGAGGCTAAGCATATCCCATAATGCATCTGTCACGGTTGCCTACTGTGTGTGGAAGTGAGAAACGAGGAAACGAGGGATTTCACACTGAACAGTCTTTAATAATCCACAGGGTAGCCAGGATACACATGTAGTACAATGGCATTAAGACAACACAGCCTGCACAGACTGGGGCTAAATACACAGGATAATTTGGAAGACACAGGTGTACGGGATGACTACTTAAACTAAACGAGGACCGGAACAAGCCCAAATAAGGGCAGACCCGCGGAGCTCGCACCGTAATGATGGTGGCTGAGGGCGAGCAGAGGGGCCGTGGTGCAGGGGGCGGAGCTCCTCTCCGTGCTCACACCGTCCGTGGCTTTCTCCCTCGTGACGGGGCATTGTTGCCGGCTCTCGCACCTGGTCTGACGGGTTCAGCTCTTGGGGGATGGTGGGCTGGGCTCTGGGTCTGGAGTGGAGAATCCACTCCACAAACACGGCGAAATCCTCTTGAGGACTATCTTCGGATGACGGCGCTCTGCACTCGATGTTTAGACTGGCGTCGTAGAACGCACAGAGCGCGTCGTCCGGGTAGCTGGTGGTGCTTGCTAGCAGCTGGAACAGTCTAGTATGGTCCTCGAGACAGGACAGATGAGCATTCAATCGAGCACAAACAGGGCCCTTTCTCTGGCAGTCTTTCTTTTGTCTCTTTTTCAGCAGACCCCCTTCCATTAAAGGTTATCCGTGAAAGACAGAGCTATTATCCCCTTTGAACACACTATGTTTATTGAATTTCAAAACCTTCTGCTCTGACAGGCTCTTGCTCAGTGAAACTTGCAATCCTTCATTAAGAGACACACGGCGAAGCCTTTAAGTTCCATTTAGATGTTACTTACGGAGTTCACAGCTCCACGAGTGATTATTATGATTCTGGATGCACCTGTCAAAAAGAGAACAGGTTGCTCTGACCAGACAGATCAGGCCTGAGTTATTACACTGATGGATCTCCATGGGCTTCTCCTTACAGTATAATGCTTCATTCTTCTGTTAAGGTTCTCACAGTGTGACTCCATTATCTCAGCTAATTACCCAATCATTCATATCCAACTATCTCAGCTGTACCAGCCCACAAAACCATTATAATCATACAGCTGAAACAAGACAGGGCACATGTTAACACTCATGTCCTTAAAAAATGTGAGGAACCAGAAAAAGTAAAAAAAAAAAAAAGTAGAGACTCTTGGTTATTATTATTTGTATTCTTAAAAAAAATGTTGCAATAGTTGCTTTATATATTTTAGAATGTGATGGGATTTGTGACTGACACTACAAAACCTTTTATTATTTATTTATTTTTTATTTGAAAAATGTTTTCCAAATATTAGCTTATTTTAACCATATTCAATTCGACCATTCTGCATTTTTATTTATTTATTTATTTAGACAATAGGACTAAAAGACAAGTCATGAACAAAACAAACATTTATTTACGTATTCATTCATTCATTTGTGCATAATTACCTGCACATAAATACTGATTAATGGTGTTAGCAGTATCACTTGGGCAACAGAAAAAAGGTCTTAATAGCAGCTCTTATGTGACTGATATGTTGTGTCCTAAACAGATAACCTTGAGTGAACTGACGTGTGAGTTTGTGTGGAAGATCTAATGAATTCTACAGACGGATGAGATTCAGCAGATAACGCCAGTTCTGATTTAAGACTCTCTAATTAACCCCTTACTCTCTGTAGCTCACAGGAGGCCTGGAGTCTTTCGCAGCATCTTCAGCCACAGGCGGGGAATCACTCTGGATGAAAGGCCAGTCCATCACACGACGCACACACACATTTAAGCTCTCACTCACACATACAGACAATTCAGACAATTCTCCAATTCATCTGCCTATTAAGAATGACAGACAAGATGTAATAAGGTCTAATCACTTGTCTACTTTTTCTTGTAACTTTAGAGAAGATAAGGTAACACTGTCATCACACATACAGTACAAGTAACTTTGTCGATTTCCAACCAGTGTGTTCTCCATGTTACCTGTGCCAATATATCCCTGTTTATTTGTCAGCAAAGCCTTCTGACAGTTCAAGGACTTTTCTGAAGCTACAGATTGTACTTCTGCATTTTTGCATTCCTTCTCAAGTACAGTCGTATTGAGCCCAGACGTTTTCCTACTTTTTGGCAAATGTATGCCACTTTACTAATGTACATGATTCTAGAAACTCCCCCATAATGCAAACATATTAGAGTATGTGGCTGATGAAGGGCCAAGACTGGGAAAATCTCCAGCGAAAATAAATTTGCAATCCACACTTCTTCATTCGTTAAACAAATAATTATGCAAGCTACTGCTGATGTTAAGCTGTGAAACACTATGTCTTCATCATATCCAGTGACCTCCAGTAATTATTGATTCTGGAACTCTGTCATGATCCCAGCCTGGGTTCCCCTGTCTTGTGTTTTATACTCTTATTTGCACACTTGTGTTTCTGTGTCCCCATCCTGTTTGCCTTTTGTTTCGCTTCTCCTTGTTTCCTCGTTATCCTGTGCATATACAGTGGGTACGGAAAGTATTCAGAGCCCCTTCAATTTTTCACTCTTTGTTATATTGCAGCCATTTGCTAAAATCATTTAAGTTAATTTTTTTTTCCTCATTAATATACACACAGCACCCCATATTGACAGAAAAACACAGAATTGTTGACATTTTTGCAGATTTATTAAAAAAGAAAAACTG